AGGCCTGTACGGGATTCGAACCACTGACCTCTGCGATACTAGTGCAGCGCTCTACCAATTGAGCTAACAAGCCAACTGGGAGCAGGCCGTTAAGTTGATTCGTAATAAACCCGTGATGATAAATCAGATACGATGAATATATGAAGTTCATATATTTTGAACTGCGGTTATAGATACGTATGATGCACGATCCTCGCAGTAGAGAGCGCTATTTATGCAATAGCGAAAATCAGACCTGAAAAAAATCAGGCCTGTACGGGATTCGAACCACTGACCTCTGCGATACTAGTGCAGCGCTCTACCAATTGAGCTAACAAGCCAACTGGGAGCAGGCCGTTAAGTTGATTCGTAATAAACCCGTGATGATAAATCAGATACGATGAATATATGAAGTTCATATATTTTGAACTGCGGTTATAGATACGTATGATGCACGATCCTCGCAGTAGAGAGCGCTATTTATGCAATAGCGAAAATCAGACCTGAAAAAAATCAGGCCTGTACGGGATTCGAACCACTGACCTCTGCGATACTAGTGCAGCGCTCTACCAATTGAGCTAACAAGCCAACTGGGAGCAGGCCGTTAAGTTGATTCGTAATAAACCCGTGATGATAAATCAGATACGATGAATATATGAAGTTCATATATTTTGAACTGCGGTTATAGATACGTATGATGCACGATCCTCGCAGTAGAGAGCGCTATTTATGCAATAGCGAAAATCAGACCTGAAAAAAATCAGGCCTGTACGGGATTCGAACCACTGACCTCTGCGATACTAGTGCAGCGCTCTACCAATTGAGCTAACAAGCCAACTGGGAGCAGGCCGTTAAGTTGATTCGTAATAAACCCGTGATGATAAATCAGATACGATGAATATATGAAGTTCATATATTTTGAACTGCGGTTATAGATACGTATGATGCACGATCCTCGCAGTAGAGAGCGCTATTTATGCAATAGCGAAAATCAGACCTGAAAAAAATCAGGCCTGTACGGGATTCGAACCACTGACCTCTGCGATACTAGTGCAGCGCTCTACCAATTGAGCTAACAAGCCAACTGGGAGCAGGCCGTTAAGTTGATTCGTAATAAACCCGTGATGATAAATCAGATACGATGAATATATGAAGTTCATATATTTTGAACTGCGGTTATAGATACGTATGATGCACGATCCTCGCAGTAGAGAGCGCTATTTATGCAATAGCGAAAATCAGACCTGAAAAAAATCAGGCCTGTACGGGATTCGAACCACTGACCTCTGCGATACTAGTGCAGCGCTCTGCCAGTTGAGCTAACAAGCCAACTGGGAGCAAGCCGTTAAGTTGATTCGTAATAAACCCGTGATGATAAATCAGATACGATGAATATATGAAGTTCATATATTTTGAACTGCGGTTATAGATACGTATGATGCACGATCCTCGCAGTAGAGAGCGCTATTTATGCAATAGCGAAAATCAGACCTGAAAAAAATCAGGCCTGTACGGGATTCGAACCACTGACCTCTGCGATACTAGTGCAGCGCTCTACCAATTGAGCTAACAAGCCAACTGGGAGCAGGCCGTTAAGTTGATTCGTAATAAACCCGTGATGATAAATCAGATACGATGAATATATGAAGTTCATATATTTTGAACTGCGGTTATAGATACGTATGATGCACGATCCTCGCAGTAGAGAGCGCTATTTATGCAATAGCGAAAATCAGACCTGAAAAAAATCAGGCCTGTACGGGATTCGAACCACTGACCTCTGCGATACTAGTGCAGCGCTCTGCCAGTTGAGCTAACAAGCCAACTGGGAGCAAGCCGTTAAGTTGATTCGTAATAAACCCGTGATGATAAATTATTACGAATCAACTTATCGGACTGCTCCCAGTTGGCTTGTTAGCTCAACTGGTAGAGCGGTGCACTAGTATCGCAGAGGTCAGTGGTTCGAATCCCGTACAGGCCTGATTTTTTCCAAGTCTGATTTTCGCTATTGCATAAATCGCGCTCTCTACTGCGAGAATCGTGCATCATACTTAATATTCATTTGTTTAAATTTAAATTAGCCCTTCTGGCCTCGTTCTCCAGTACGAAATTCAAAAGAATACATTATCTTAAGCGAGGCCAGAAGGGCTAATTTAAATTTAAACAAAAGAATTAATCCGGCAGCCATTTGTAAAAGTGGTCTAGGGTATTTTATTTTCTCTGTACAATAATTCATGGAGGGATTAATTCTTTTGGGTGAAGACAGAGCACGTTGCGAGTTGAACTTTTTTGTCCAACAACGCAACCCCACTTTTTTGGTCAGCACTGCGTCCGCGTTTATTAATGCATATGCGTTTTTTTATTTCTTCTTTTGCAAAGTCAGAGTTCCCTTTTGCTGTTTGCCGATGTCATAAACGTCAGTTCTTCTACTCATTATTTTTTATAGCCAGTCACAGTTCTCTATCTTTATTTTTTCCTAAATTCAATTTTTTTTAACATTACGATCGACATCTCCGTTTCCAATCTCACACTGTTTTAAAGTGTGGGCACTTCTTCCACGTATCCCATGAATTGAAATTATGTGCACCGCTGTTTAAACCTGGGCCAAGAGGTTATTAAGTCATCCCCTCCCCACTCTTGTCGGGCGTGACAGACCACCACCACGTTTTCCTTTCATACACTGCCAAAACTGAAATGGGTGACGATCGACGATTAATCCTCCGTGAGCCATCTATCATGCTTTCCGTAATGCAGAGACAAGAACCCTTAATATAGGCCATGTCCATACATGCAGTCTTAGCTTCATATCAATACTTACGAAATAATCGAAGTATAACCCGCACAGCTGTTTTTAAGAAGTTAGCCTCCGAATTTGTTACCCATTGACGATTAGGCTCGATTACATGCCGCTGCTCGAGAAATAAGCCTGCGCTCACCTCTGCCCCGTTTCCCCCCCCCCCTCCCCTCCCTTGTCGGGAGGGTCAAAGATCGGACCCGAGTAAACGGTGGAAATCGAGCCTAGACGCCGTTTCGATGACTAGTTTTGTCCATGTTCGTATCGTTCGATGATACGTGCTATGGAAGTGTAAGTGCCAAACACAAGCATAAGTATGCCTGCTACCATGATAACTCCATCCTTTAGAAAGATAGATGTTGGAATTCGTCCGTCGCCCTCTGAAGCTAAAGTCAAGACATGAATAAATATTGGGAAGATAATGGCCAGAGCTGTGCAACCAACGGAGCCGACCAATGCGATGAAATTATCCAGTTGAGGTACGCTGACTGCCATGATGCCTGCAACGAATTGAAACGTGAACCCATTAGCTTGGGAGCCACTCATTATTTATCGCCCAGCGCTTCAGGGTACCAATTATCCATTCAAAAATTATTCCTGAGTTTTCTTTAGCTAATTCTATGTTTACTGACGGTTGCGATTGCGTTGCTGATATTTTCAGACACAACATTAATATTTTATTGCCAATCGACCGACGCTATCACCCATTAGCTCTCATTAAAATTCGATTGCTACTAACATGTTAAAATAACTGTTGCTGCTCTCATTCCGTAGTCAGCCCATGTTTGATACTCCTCAGGTACATGTCTCAGGATCGGGGGCTGGATAATCAACATCGGTACGTAGAACTGAATAAAATACGTCAGAAATATACAGGTGGAAAACAGTAACTTTACTCCTGTGTATATTCTGTGGAGAAAACAAAAGTAATTTCATTCAAGAGGTCAACTATGTCAAAGGAAGCCCAATGGCGAGAGTGCACGTGAGACGTGCGTGATAGAGCAGGTAAGCGCGAGAACAACGCGACATATACTGGCTCTTTGCCCCTTATGAAAGTTTTCAGTCATCTTTTTCTTCCCCCTTCCTTACTTTGTAAGTAATTCCTCTTGGCTAGGTAACCTACCCTTCATTCGGAAGATTCAGTGTTATGCTGCCTCTACATTCGTCTTGACAAAAGAGGTATCCCAGAATTCCCAGTAGCGAGAACAGCAATGTGACGACTCCCATACCAAAGTTGAGAACCAAACGATAATCCTGAGGGGTTGCCATCTTGTTTTCAATCGGCAGAACCTTAGGTTGGAAGTATCAGAAAATAGCTTTGATGTTAAAAATCAAACCTGTTAATATGGGGATTACCAGCTAATATGGGGATTAAGTTCGTCCCCCTATAACCCAATTGTAATGTAATGTAATGTAATGTACTATAATGTGAATTACGATTACGATTACAATAAAGTTGTTATATATTATTATGGTCAACTGGTGTTGACCTTGGCTTCTTGCTGATGAAGAGGCAACTTTTGTTTCGTTTATGTTACCAATCGGACTGTTTTTCGCCAATGACAGGGTCAGAGTCAGAGTCGTTATCAAAGGCGATGAGTGGTACGATCTGGTAAAAATCAAACCCAAGGAATCCGAGGGAAAATATCTATGCCGCTTAAGACTTAGTCGCCTACGATCCACGGAAAACTGGACTGTCGCAGTCGTAAGCTATTGAGTGGCTTGAGAACTAACATTTTTATTGGTTGGTTCTTCCGCTTCTGCTTGCGACTACGTCAATCCAGTTTTCACTTGATCATAAACTTCGGACTGTCGGAATCAAAAGCGGAGTCGGAAGTGAAGAAATCGTTTGATTCTTCCGAATCCGATTCCGTCGCGTTTTTGACTTCGCTAACGCGACTCCGAATTTCAATTTTCACTTCGTCGAAGTGCTCTTATGACACTAACTTTGACTTCGATTCAAACCCCATTGCTATTGAAAGTCAAACTTAGTTATGATTTTATCTCGCCTTTCTTCCTCGATCGCATCCTCGGAGACCCAGGGGCTTTGGGTCGATTTCAAGTTAGGGCATGAAGAGCCCCTGGGGACATTGTCTTACAAGACTAGTTCCAAACGGTCCCAGTCGTTCTGCCATCTGATTGGTGCCAGAAAATCTTTGTGTTTTTCTGCCCAATCAGAGTGAAGTGTCGTTTGGAGTCCTTTCGTGTGTATTAACACGCACATCTACAACAAGCTCTGTTGCTCGCTATGTTTGTCTCGGCCGTGCGACGAAGCTTTGCCCGAGGTGAAAAGTTTCAGTCTCAGCACACAATGTAAGAGAAATCGATCAGATTGTCCGCGAAATCTTACCGGAAATTATACCGAATACTTTCGCAGGTATCACAAGAGAACGTGTTCAAAAGTTTGCGAGGTTCGTATAAAACATAATGGTTGCAGGCATTGATATGTCGCTTTAAACGTTAGATGAGATGTAAGCCTAAATCTTTCAAGATTTTTTTGTATAATTTGCTGTCACTGAAACTTTTCCAATCCCGTGAAGCNGACATACCTGCGTGGCCCTTGCGACGAAATGGCTTCACGGGATTGGAAAAGTTTCAGTGACAGCAAATTATACAAAAAATCTTGAAAGTTTAAGCTTACATCTCATCTAACGTTTAAAGCGACATATCAATGCCTGCAACCATTATGTTTTATACGAACCTCGCAAACTTTTGAACACGTTCTCTTGTGATACCTGCGAAAGTATTCGGTATAATTTCCGGTAAGATTTCGCGGACAATCTGATCGATTTCTCTTACATTGTGTGCTGAGACTGAAACTTTTCACCTCGGGCAAAGCTTCGTCGCACGGCCGAGACAAACATAGCGAGCAACAGAGCTTGTTGTAGATGTGCGTGTTAATACACACGAAAGGACTCTAAACGACACTTCACTCTGATTGGGCAGAAAAACACAAAGATATTCTGGCACCAATCAGATGCCAGAACGACTGCGACCGTTTGGAACTAGTCTGGTAAGACAATGTCCCCAGGGGCTCTTCTGCCCTTAACTTGAAATCGACTCACTGCCCCTGGGTCTCCGAGGATGTATTTGTCCGTGTTACAACACACGAAAGGACTCCAAAGCACACTTCAATCTGATTGGGCAGAAAAACACAAAGATTTTTCTGGCACCAATCAGATGGCAGAACGACTGCGACCGTTTGGAACTAGTCTTGTAAGCCAATGTCCCCAGGGGCTCTTCATGCCCTAACTTGAAATCGACTCAGCCCCTGGGTCTCCGAGGATGCCTCGATCGTTATCCCTAACCGACAACCCGAAAAGGGAAAAATCGTTCTAGTGACTTCAAACATACCACGCCGATTCCCTCAAAGGCATACAAAGCGATTCCAAAGAACACAGGAAAGTTCGACCATCCTGCAAAACCTGGAAGTTTCTCCGTATGCTGGATATTTCTGATGAGGTACTGGAATATGATTACTAAAGAAATGCCACAGCAGATGTTAGCGATCATCGAGAGCGGAGCCAGGGTACGAAGATCCCGGATGAAGGACAAGAGGATTACAGGGATAAGCATAATTGCCATCCACGATTGGACGTCAAGAGCGTTGGAGACCTGGGAAGATGAGAAAATAATGTTTACTTATTGATTGGGTGGGAGGGCCGGATGAGAAAATGTATGGCTTGACTGTCATGACGCATGCACGCACACCAAGAGTAGCGAGTTTTGTGCGTCACGACCATAGCCAAATGTTTTCTCGTCTAGCCTTCCCGCTCAGCCAACAAGTATACATTAGTGTGCGTGGAAGTCCAACAATTCAGATTCTAAATACGGGGAGTTTGCAAAGTATCGACTTAAAAGAAAATGGAGACGTGTGAAAAACATTTGTTTGTCTTACCTGTTGAAGATTATTAGCAATAAACACAAAATACACACTGCAGAAACCCAGCTGTGACATACATAGGAAAAAGTTTACAAGGTGTCTGTTGATCAAAGAAAAGTAATGTTAAAATCATGGCTTGGGGAGGGTTACGTTATAATTTATGAGAGAAGACCAAATAACAAGTTTGCTTTTCCAACGGCCGTTTCATTGCGTCGTATTGGACAAAAATATTGATAACCGTTAAAGAAAAAATACTAGCGTAACATAACATAAGGATAGTTGCAACTGTTTGGGCCGACTAGCGGCCGAATGAACAACTTGCGAACTGGTATTGATTAGGTCACGTGGCTCAGTAGCACATGGTTGTGGTTTAAGAGTAGTTTCGTATCGGGGACCATAAATGCTATGCTTGTTGCAGTTTTGTTTTTTCCCCACCGTTAATTGCACAGAAAATGTAAGTATCAGGTCTATAATTTCCTTCTACCCCGATCAGTTGTTAATTCAAGTTTTTCTTTGGTCCAGTTTTTACCGTAGGCGTAGATAATTCAAGACAACACAAAATGTCACAAATGGTGGAAATGTTTGTACTTGGAGGTTGTCGAGGTTGTCAACAATCATGAGATGATCTTTATTAAAGCGTTTATATTATTAGAAAAAACCAGGAAAGATTTATTACTCGACGTTTCGGGGTCATCGTGACTCCATTATCAAGAGACTAGTTTAAAAACATGCAAATAAGGAAAGGTACAAGAATAGCATAAATTAGACTGAACGGCTTAAACAAACACCTTGGCGCGGATGGAATCCGTTNAAGTGTTTATATTATTCTACAATTACGCGTAAGAAAATCTCTCTGCAAATTGTCCCCAACAGCAACCCAGCGAAATAAAATATAGCACAGTCTGTGCTCTTGTTGTATTATTGATGCACTTTCTTTCTTGTGGGGTATTGCTCACTGTCGTTTGAATCGCGAGGATCCCTTCAGCGTTTGTTTATAGGTTGTTTCAGTCTTTTCATGAGTTGTCCCTTTTAAATATCAATCCGAAAAAACGGCTGAGAAATGCATTTCATTAATAAAAGCCAGAGCCTGTTTAAACAGCGGCCTCGAGAAAACGCCGTGTCAAAACTGTCGATTTTTTGATAAACGCCAGAGGCTTTAATCGAGAAAATACGGTACTGGTGGTCATGTGACGACCTGGGAGACGGTCGGTTGTTGGGTAGTCCCCCTCGCAGCCGTTTTTAGTCTCGTCACGCAACGCTCCTCCCCAGTTGCGTGACGAGACTAAAAACGGCTGCGCGGGAGACTAGTTGTTGGGTGACCGAGAGAAACAAGCTTGACTAGCGCGATTATGTTTCGTTACCGAAGTCGCTATTGCGAATAATATATTATTGCTTAAGTAGTGCTCCTCACTGCGAAGATTGTTGTCACATGCGAAGTCGTTATTATTACCTGCCAAGATGAGCTTTCTTTGGAAAATGACGTCTGATGCTTTCCTCCGCAACTTCTCCGTAACCTAACGAAATTACTCCAGTTCTTAAGGAAACAAGAAGTAAAGAGAGGAGAGACATAAGGAACCAAGCATAATTTGTCACGGGGGGAAGTCATATGGTTTACGGGGGGGAACAGAGGATGGATTAGTCGTCGCTAACAGAGTATAAAGGGGGGGGACTATAGCAAAGTGACTGTCAATGGTGGGGGGTTCATCAGAATACTACAGAGCCATAGGGGGGGATCAGCTAAATTTTATTGTAACATAACCAAAATCCTACAACACCCCTGTCCCCCTCCTGATTTAAGTGACCTTCTATGAGAATGCTATGTGTATGGGGTGGTGGATAATATCCTGTTTTCCTATGGCCGAGGGTCTGGAGGTAAAGTAGCTTAGAGTTACCGTTTGAGGTAACATTTAAGAAACACGAATTGAGCTGCAACAGCGCTGCACTTACCTTAGAGACAAAATATTACTACATTTGACCAATAGATGCATACAATGGATTGTAATCCCTGCAACTACCAACAATGCCAATGGACCCATCTGCAAGGAGAAAACGGGAGTGATATAGATCTTATGAATATTATTTGTTTTTTTGTTAGTTTGTTTGTCTGTTTTCATTAAGAAAGAAATTCTTATGGCTTAACAAAAGTCTCCTGTATAGAACTCTATTTGCCATTATCAGAGTATGGATGGGTCGCTCCTTGAACAACGTTACCTTCCAACTTTTCTGAATGTTGTGTTAAAACCTACCACAATCCCAGCATGCATCATTGCCTCAGGTAATCCCAGAATACCCGTTCCAACGTTTCCCCTCCAAAGATGCATCAAAGTCTGCATGTTACTGCATATGAAGACAGAATCATATGAAAAAACTGAATGAATGAAATATCAGGGCAATATTTCTAATGCGAAGCTGACAATATGGACATATGAAGGTGTAGTCTGATCGTCCGGGTGAGTG